AAATAGCACTGGGTTCGAGTGCCAGAGTGAATATCAACTGTGAGATGCAGATACATACAGCTGATAAGTCTCAAACAGGACGAAACGCGCGTCCTGAATTCCACTGCTAGCCACTATCCATGTGTGCTTATAATGTCAGGGATTTACTGTTGTATAAAGTATTTATTTTTATATCTTAGTGACCTTTAAAACTTCGATACGATTTTAAAATTAAACTGTTGGTGTGTCTTGTCATTAATTCTCAGAAGTAATAAAAATGTTTCAGGTTTATTTATTCATTACCCTCTAATGAATTGTAGTTGTTCTAGGATAAAACTTCGTGTTTTAATAGTGCTAATATATTTCTAAATCAGTTCAATCCTGGATCTTATAAATTTTATTGATATGGTTCTTGTGATCTTTATTTAAAGAAATAAATAATAAGCAATCATTGAATGTATTCAATACACAAAAGCATTACTTACCTATAGCGGAAAATATTTCTCTTTGTTCATTATGTGTTTGTACAGCTGCATTAATATTGATACAACCACATTTATTATATAATGGTGCTTTCCATATAACAATCATTTTTGTGACAAGCCTTTGAGTACGTGAGATCTTCTCAGCTGTAAGACCTTCACAACCTAATCTTGTTTGAGTGACTGCTGTTTCTGTTGTCCATATATCGGATAAAATATTATTTGAATCCTGATTAGTTAGATGAATCCATTCACCTAACTCTTTAGAAGAGCAATTGTTCATATTATCTGTTAACTAAGGAAAGTTTAAAAAAGTGATTGAATCGAATAAAGATTTTAAGAAAAGTGATTTATAAGTAACTTATTTTACAAACATTGTTATGTACTAGGATCTAAAACAATCATTGATAAAAGTATTTAGATAAGGATCTTTGCAGAAGTAATAGTAGATCCATCAGTAATGAAATTTGCCATTTTGAGACATGACGGTAAAGAGAAATTGATCCCTAATTGAACTTTCGGAAACAGGAAATAAAGTATTAACTCCCAACAGTCGAACATATATGATATCTAATTCACTTGATATTGTTTTATTTGAATCTTCCCATTGATGTTTAGGACTGAAATTGTTCAGTCTCTTATTGGCATATGTGCATACTGTGCGTATGCCTCGATATTGTCTTAATTTACAAGCATTATAAGCAAAGATGGATAGTGGCTAGCAGTGGACTCCAGTTTGACGCGCGTTTCGTCCTATTTGGGACTCGTCAGCTGGATGTACCTGCATCTCAGAGTTGATGTTCACTCCGGGACTCGAACCCAGTACCGTCCGCTTCAAACGCCATCGCGTTTTCTAACAAAAGGAAGACTTATGATCAAGTTCTGTAAATAGATTCAGCATATCTTTGATTACTGCCCTCCTCTTGAATAAAATATTTTAATTCAATTGTATGTGCATTCATTCCGTATTAAAAACTAATTACGGAACACTCATCCCGAAGTCTTCAATATAATAACTGTTATCCTCTACAACCCACAGCATTTAAACACTTATTTCGAGTTACGTAAATTTAGTAATATTTAAGTGTCTAGAATAGGCAACCCTAACAGAATTCACTTTTAAGAAGTGAACCAAATCTTCATCACAGTAGAAACTGAAGGTCATTAATTTGATTTCTGTTGCAATCTACATATTTATAAATTTCAATCATCAACAACGTTATCAATAATTGAGTTTTTTCATTCGAATTGTTTGTGAATTAATCTAAGTAAATAAATATATCCATGAAACATTCGACTTACTGTGTTTGGATTGAGACGTCCATGAAGTGATTTACTATCCATGGGAATTGATGAATCCATTTTTATATTCATCATCATTTTTTCCTTATTCATATTGGATTCAATCCATATTAATCCATCACGGAATCCTACTGAATGAAATCGATTTGTCAATATTACATAATATTTTCTTCCAGGTTCATACCATTCATCAATCATAACACCATCATTTACTCTTCGAAGACGTAATTCAAATCCATTATCATCCATCATTACTTTATCTTGATATTTTAATTGATTTAAATCGGATTGCATATCTGATGATGATGATGATGATGATGATACCATTAAGCTTACATTTCGATTGATACTTATTTGACTTCTTAGATTAACTGTAAGAGTTGTACATAATTTTGATAATTTTAAACCATCAAGTTTATTAATACAATTAAATATAAGGAGATATAAAATAGAATTCAGTTGAATATTAAGCATATTTAATAGATTATACATTCCAATTTCAATGAATTTGCCTTTAAATATACCCAACAACAACAAAAAAATATGACATACACCATGGGTGTAGGAAAATACGTGGGTGTTTCTACCGTAAATAACAACTGATCAATAATGAATGGAAGAAAGAATACAAAGTAATTAGTATTACATATTACATATGTTCCGGTACTTTTGTCAATTGTCAGATGATCAAGGTTATGCAGGGCATGTTATTTTGATTAGTTGAAACTTGGGCATATTTGTATTTTTGGCTTGTTTATTTTCAATAGTTGCTAAGATAGACGAATTACAAATACACTTCTAGATCATATGACTTCAAGTTTAGCGCTTTATCAGAGAAATATTAAATGTAGGTATTTCAGATAAAATTCATGAGTGCTAATATCTATGATCAGAAAATTCTCTCTTTCTTCTTTTAAATTAGTTACTATGGTGCATTCATTTTAGTTAGTTAGTGACTAACATAAAAGAGAACATTTTCAGCTCAAACGAGTGATTTTAATGTTGTTCTCTCAGTTAGATGATTTAATGTTAAAACTTTGATTTGTTGTCTGAAGACCATCATCAGAGGCTACTTCATACAGAAATGAGCGTTTTTGCTATTTCTCAAGTGTTATATCAGTTCACTTTGTGATGGCTTTGTTTGTTATTAGTCGTTCTTGTAGATTTCGTCTTTATTTCTTCTTATGTTCTATTCTATATAGTACATCGTTCAGATTAACTAAATATTTACTTCAATATGAAGTAGACTCGAACAATATTGTCCATAACGATAGCGAACGTTACAAAATTGAATAATCTAACTGAAGGAATACAACAACTGTAAATGTCAGTTGATTGGCCAGTAATAACCGATGAAGTTACCACTCAAGATGGTCTATAACCCTGATGATAGTATTACACTTATTTTTTAAAAAATTCATATTTAGCCAATGTTCATTCTTATTAATATTACCTTTTTCATAAATATCATATTGTCATTAGAAATCTAAAAGACTCATTTATGAAGTAATATCGTCCATCTTTTTTAATACTTACTGGTTAAACTTTTAACTTTACCCTGTAACAAACTTCAGTGTAGAAGAGGAGACAGTGTGTAATTTTAATGACTAAAAGTATAATTAGGTACTTGCTAAAATGAACTGAAATTACTTCTATGAATCATATGCTTATTATGATAAATGAGAAAGAATAATATAACATTAACCAAATAATAGAGTTTTATTAGTTTTAAACCACTACAAACATTGAACAGTTGTTCATAGTCAATTAAATAAGGGTATTTATCGAATAAGAAATGATTGAATATGTATCTAATGAATTTTTAAGTAAAGATGAATAGTGGCTAGCAGTGAAATCCAGGACACTCGTTTTGTCCTATTTGGGACTTGTCAGCTGGACGTACCTGCATCCCAGATTTGATGTTCACTCCGGGACTCGAATCCTGGGATTTAGGTATTTTTCTATCTATTACGTTTTTTGTCCTATTGTGAACAAGATAACGGTTGTGATGATACTGATGGTTATTAAGTGATTGAATTCTGAATACTAACGTCTTGAAACTTCAAAAGAATACTTTCATAGTTTATTATGCCATCAATATAATTGAATAATAAATTCGGTGTTATATAACAAAATTCCACTTTAGAAGTGTACATTTCCCAGACTATTGGTTGAACATTATTACTGTGTTAGACGGGACATAGATTAGATTAAAACAGGCTCCATGAACGATTGCGTTGATACACGCTGATTGGCTAATTCTTAACCAATCAGCGCTAGTCGATACTTGGAGAACACCCTACTAACGTTTTAACCATTGTGTTTCTTACTTCCATCTAACCTTGTTATTTAGAATATAATCTCTTTCCTGTTTATCTGTGTTCTGATTTGAAGACATGTCGAGTGAATTTGTATCTAAGATTACTAAGTAATAAAAATAACCGGGTTGTAATAAGTGAGAATTATAACACACTGGGTTTTACATAACAAAAATTATATATGAAACACAGAAGAGAGTATATAATTATCAGAAGGGGTTTTGTGGAGATTTTAGAAATTTCAATAGCTTAAATCATGAGTCGATTGAGTTTAGACCACCATGGAAAACCTGGAAGCACTGGACGGCCGTTTCGCCCTAGTACGGGACTCCTCAGTAGTGCCCATCCACGATCTCGCCCCCTTCCGCGAGAATTGGACCCAGGACCTGTCAGTCTCTCGCGCGAGCGCTAGTGAGAAGCCGTTACCAGTGGAGTTCAATCAGGTCTGTTGTGAGATATCAGATTACTGAATACAATGGTGTACGGTGGAGCAATTTCGTGGAGAGTATATACTTAATTAATCAACTTTACTAAACATTAAAATATTCATGAGATTCCATGATGTTTTGAGATGCAAGGATAAGAAATAAGGGAAATTTGTTACATCATCAAATGTCTAACTACTTTTCGATCGAATTTATACCTATGTAAAAATCACGAAATTCTATGCGTTTGTTCTTGGTACAATCAGAAAGTATACATTATTGAAAGTATAGCACTATTCGGTTTGACATTAAATGACATTTATTGTCTAATCGATATAAACCTTTAGGGTTTTAGTAACTGTTGTAATTTTGGTGATAAGAAGCAGTTGAGTTGGGCATTTCAGTTGTTTGAAATATTCGCAAAAGTCAGAGAATTTTTATAATGAAAGTATTTTATTTATCATTGTAATTAGTTGAAACATCTTAATTTTTAGGCATGACTACAACCAGCTGTCATCCTCGTCTTGGTTACGAATGTGCCAAAATAATGGCTGATCATTATCCAGAGCGCCTTGGTTTAGCAATGTGTGTTCTTCCAGGACCAGCATTCAAAGTTGCTTGGCAAGCCATTAAACCATTCTTACCACAGACAACAGTATCAAAAGTTTGCTTTATTAGAAGTAAATCAAAAATATGTTCAACCTTTGAACAATACTTCTCACCAGAAACGTGTAACTGGTTAATAACTGAAGTAAAATTCAATAGATCAAGACAGACAACAACCAAATACCGACCATTTTGGTTACCTCCAAAAGATTCCGATGATAAACATGATCCTAGAGGTGATCCAATATATGTTCGTGATTGGCTTGTATTAAATCATCCAACTCAACATTTACCACATCCAAATATTGTTGATTATATGCTTGGATGTTTAAATTCACTTAATTATGAAAATGCATTATGCTCTAGTCCTCTGGTTGATAATACTTATGAGTTAACAGAAAAGGGATTTGGTGATTTTGAAGAACATGAAAATGATATTGATGACGAAGAACTTACTAAAAAACTTGCTGCAGAATTACCAAAAGAATTTATGATTCCTGAAAATGCAGAAAAGTTAACATAAACCATTATAGTACATTAGAATATTTATATTCTGTTAGCTCGTTCTCGTCTTTTTAACACACTTGTCATTTTATACCACTAAAAGATAATATACAAACCAATAAGAGATGAGTTCTCAGGGTTAGGCAATGGAAAGTTTTTGGTAATATGGTACTTTATGTCCATGTATTCGGTTTATTTTTAAAAAAATTTTATTTTTTAATTTAATTTTTCATTATTTTTCAAGTTAAAATCTCTTCATTAATCACTTGAAACTTCGACAACGATTAAACAGTTCAGCTAAAGCAACAGTATGTTATTTATTTAACATGGTGAATAATCGAATATATTCACAAGGAGAAAATGTTTTCAACAAAAGGTCTACTTTTATTCAATCCGTTACTTTACCAACATGAAAATCATTTATTAGAAACTAATTAACGGAGTAAGTGCCGCGCAGTCCGACCAGTATAATCTTTCCAGTGGTACACTGTACTATTTAATTACACAGCGAGACTATAATTTATGGATGAACCAATCAGGTATAAGATAACAGGTCTCGGGGTGAGACTATAATTTATGAACGACCTTGAGCGACGCTGAAGTGACCTTGAGAGTGAACAACTAATTAGGACTAAATAAGGGTTATAAAGCAGTTAGAATTCTCATTTACAGTTGATAGTTAGGGTTAAAAATTAGATTTAGGGTTTTCATCACGAACTGACTTCAGCTATAATTCCAAAACTCTATTTAGCTAAATGTATGAATGAATTCCGCGCCGAAATTAGTGACTCGTTATCTTATATCTGACTGGTTCGTCTATAAATGATAGTCTCACCGGTCTCGGATTTCGGCGCAAAACTCACTCATCCATTTGTGTAAATAGAGTTTTGGCATTATAACTGATGTCAGTTCGTGATGAAAATCCTAAATGTAATTCCTAATTGTAACCATCAACTGTAAATCATAAATCTAATTCCTCACACTGGTTTTTAACCCTCATTTGATCCTAGTTATTAGGTAAACACTCTCAAGGTCACTTTAGCATTACTCAAGGGTCGTCCGTAAATTATAGTCTCACCAATTACACTTTCGAGTCATCTGAACATGATGATGACTAGAATCTGTAGTAAAACAATTTAGTGCTTCTTCTTTTTAGAAATGACTAGACAAACATAGTTAACACCAAACGAAGTCGAATTCAAATTTCTTTTGTGTTGGATGGCGTCAATGATATCCACATTTTCAACCAGATTACCAATCGCAAATAACAGTATTTGGTTGATCGAGTCTCAGATGACCACTTGTAGAGCAAAGCTGAATAGACTAATCATGTCCGTTTTCAACCGCTTGAGAAAAATAAAACATTGATTGTCTACTTTCCAATACATCAAATAGTGTAAGTGGTTCAGTACAATACTGATTTCTGGAATAAAATAATTCTTGTCAGATTACCGAAATTGATGAACATAGACAATATTTCACAATCTATGTCATCTATGTGGGGATGGGACAAATATTCTATATCTCCACCATAAATTTAAAAAGCGTAATAATAGAAGAGTTCATGAAAAACGTAGATGCAATACTGGTTATAAACATTAGCAATGTACCTACCCCAGTTCGACGGGAATTGTTTGAAATCTTAGTTAGAGGACGGGTCGCGCCTCGAGAGATACTTAACATCGCTTCCTCTATAGTGCTAACCGGATAGGATCAGACCCTACCAAAAAGCACAGTTTACTAAAGAAATTAAGTTAGAGAGATAGGAGGTAAGAACACCTTCACATATGCCGTTTTGTGGCATGAAACCGAATACTTGAATTTGACGAGGTTCGGTGAACTATTTAACGTTTGATGATCTGCCACCTAAAGTACAAATGATTCAGCTGGACGGATGGTTGGGCAAGGGTTCATTGACATTTTAGTGACCCTATAACCAGTTATTTATGGTATGGTATGAATACGAGTCCTTCATGAATATCCTCTTCTGACTGAATCCTCAGAGCTTAACCTTGGGCTGATAACCACCGAGAGTTTACACTCCAGCTCAAACCACATAGGAGATGCAGTCGAGACAAGCACGAATCACTGCTTTATGCGTAGAATACTTGAGACGACCGCCTCGGAGTTGTTCCAAAATGTCTTTAAAACGTATCCGCGGTCCCACCTTGAAGTCCACAAACTCATTCCGACCCTCTCTTCAAGAGAACCTTAAATCTCTTACACTATATACAGAAACGGGCAAACAGGATAATGACAGAGCTGAAATCTCACGACAACAAACTTTAACACATGGGATTATACGGGCTGAGATACATGATAATAATAAGTCGTCCAGTAATCGCCTACAATATATAAGGTATACCGAGCAATCTCAACAGGAGCATACTACTAGATCATCATCAAGGTTGGGTATGTCTTTAGAAAGTTTTAATACCGATATTTATTGTCTATTCAAGTTGCGTATGCAAGACTTTAGTGAAGTACCACAAATCCGTTTCCCATCCTTCGCTTTGAATTGCTTGTTTCATGTGCATTTATCTGGGGACCATGTGACATATTTGTCTGGTATTGTTGACGTTAGTGTCACACTAAGTGCTAAAGCTGAGGCAGCACTAATCGATTTGATCCTTATTAACAGTCAGATGTGTGCTGTTGGATTAGAAAGTTCCAACAAAGTGCGAAGAAGTTGGTGTGTGAAACGATGTCTTTTCGTCATCTCCACCTATGCTCCTACAGATTTATCCCGGATGCTACCAAGGATGAATTTTACCAACAGTTAACAGTTTTACAGAAAGTGCGTTCGACAGATATTGTAGTACTAGTCGGAGACTTGAATTCTCAGGTCAGGCGTTTAGGAACAGAAAGGAATCGTTAAAGTGGCTGTTAGGGACTTGTTGGTTGCGGGTCAGATAATGGTGACCGTCCGCTGAAACCCGTTTTTAACTAGCACTATTTGCCATTACAATAATTGCCGATGTGCTATCAGGAGTCCTCTCTCTGCATTTCAAGCATGGACTCAGACTGACCCCATCACGATCAGCTGCCGCTTAAGTAGTCGAGTACAAGTTTGTCGGTTCTGACGCGCTTCTTCACTTGCTTGTTTATTTCTGTGTATTCAGCTTGTGCCTTAGCTTTTTCTGCTCTTCTTCGGCTGGTATTGATTGCTGCCTTCTTGTTCCTCCTTTCTTGAATCTTATCCAGTGTATTAACAGTGATCCATTCTTTGTAGTGGTAATTCGTGTGGCCCAGAATGTCATGACATGTTGAGGTGATTGCCTGTTTTATTGCTTTCCAGTTGTTCTCCATAGTAGTTCCCTCTCCTTTGGGTAGATCATGAAAGGCCTTTCTTTCTCCCAGTCTATGTCGACCAATAATGTCTTCATATCCGTGTTGTCCATTACAACTTTAGCATTTAGGCCTCTCATCAGAATGGTCACGTCCTTTGTTGGGCACTTCTGGACGATTGGCTGCAGCCTATCGTATAAATGATCTTAAACGTCTTCATTGTTGTCGTTGGAAGGTGCATAGCACTCGATAACGTTCATTGTAATATCTTCTTTCTTTATGTTTGAAGGAGGCTTTGATGAGCCTGGGTCCATGAGATTCCCACCCTATGAGTGCATTTTGACTTGTTTTTATATCATCAGTGCAACTTCATGTAAATGTGGAGCATTTACTTCTTCATGGTCAGAGTAAAACAGCAGCTCCCTTGGAGCTAGTCTTTGTTGTCCAGCATGCGTCCAGTGTGCTCCACTGATTTCAAGCACCTTCAGGTTGTATCTTTTCGTTTCTGAAGTAGTTTGGAAGACTCCCAAGGTGTCCTTACATTGTACGAGCATTCCATGTACCTAAATGAATGGTTACTCTGGTTGTCATAAGGACCATCAGCCAGTGACTTCTGAAGGAACTCGGCTTTCACCATGAGGCTTGATAACTCTTCTAAATGATGGTCTTCTAATTCCCAGGGCAGAGTTGAGATTGTTTTAATTATTTTTTCTGGCTAGCGTTTTTTAGTGGGTCGTTAACTCCATGTCCAACTTTTTCCTTTATCTGAGCTTCAGACCGTCAATAGTTCCGGAAGGGCTCCAGGCGGATTTCAATGTTAGAACTGGCAGATGAACTACCGGCACTGCCTACCAATCTCTACGAGGTGAGAATGTGTCAACCTACATTCTTAGTTTTAGAGTTTTTCGCACCACTTATGCTCCAATAAGAACTGTGCATTCTGGTCGCATATTTTGTACTGGTTTTCAGGACAGTGGAACCTAGTTCTGTGCGACATCAACTTCTTTTCACTTTCCAGGATCTAGCAAATTGTACGGGCACAAAGTTTGCGTGCTCTGTCATACAAATGAACTGTGTAATAATATAACATTTATTTATGGTGAAAACTTAATTTGAGAAGCCGTTCACTGTTTAAGGAACTATTAGGCGTGAACAGGAAAAAATGTTATAAACAATCAAGTTCTCAAAGTACAAGAAATCATTTGACGATGAACAAAAGGAAAACTGACTGCGACTGTTGAAATACTCAGAAAATAGTGTGAGCATGGAAGCGCTGTTGACAGGTGGGATGATACCTTCCTCCAAAAGTGTACGCCACGAGAAGACTTGAAAATAATGCTGCTGTTTGAGGAAATAAGTTCTGAAGCTGGTTAAGCGAGATCCGTCGACTGATTGATATGTTTCTAACCTTTTTCACTCTTTTTACTTCATGGCTTCTCTTTACCACATTCCGCTGTCGTGTTCGTGTTTTCAACCATCTCCGAATTTTGGAGTGTCATCTCCAGTCTCTCCAGCGAGAGCGATTTAGAAAAAATGGAAAGGATATAGAAGCAGCATAATTCCCAAAACGCTAAAAATTGCGGACAAAGATACTGCACAAAACTACCTGATCTTAGTTAATGTTCAATGTTGGGGACAAAACTGACATCTATGGTTCAGTTCTGGGAAAGGATACCATAACAGAAAGAGAATACCATCTGCATAGGTTCCTAAAGTAAACCTTTCCTATTAAAAGCAACTCTACTCAAAGACCATCCATTAAAGTTTTCCCTAGAGTTTGAGTTCGACATAAACCATTGTCCGTAAAAAATGTCACAAGAATATAACTGAAGGTCCTCAGGCCTTAGCACGGCCTCGTCGGCCGCATCAAAGATAGTGAGAGCCGACCTAGATCGACAAGACAATTGGATAAAATAAAATAAAGCACAACTTATTGT